CACTAGGTTCTCTGTTATCCCGTGCCCCACCTACTTCCCATGTGTTCAGAATCCTGAACAAGTGCACCACTTTGAGGAAGATATTTTTGGACACAAAGGCAAAGGAACTGCCCCCATATGTAAAATGTGCCCTAGTTCCCTGGGCTCATGCTCCTGTCCACTCCTTCCCAATGCACTGACAATTTCCTTGTGCCAGGGAAGACAATAAACGCAAGACAGCCTCCCAAACATGTTTCAGCTAATTTCACTCTCTGTTATTGCTCCAGCCAACTTCAAGGGATTAATGCCCAGCATCTAATAGGAAATCCTAGATAGGAGTCATTTTTTATGTACAATACCACATTTTCTCTCAAACTGATCTTGTGTGAATTTCTAGTCAGGGTGGTATTACTCTGCTTGTGGCAACATCAACTTGCAAGTAATGTGTGTTAGATATTATCACCATTATGTACTAAGCATTTGGAACAGTCAGGCAAGTATCCTAACCTAGAAGTCAGAATTCTGGGAGCCATTGAGGTAGACCCATTCTAAAAATTCTTCAACCTGAAAACATTGTGGCCTGTCAGTCCCACTTACAACTAACCAGAGGCAATAGGCACAGTAGTGGATAAGGAAGATTTTGTGACCACCCCAGTGGTCCTAAGAAGCCGGTAGTATTGAAAAATCTGCAACATTAATTTGAGGGCGCCTGGGTGGCTCAGTTGGTTAAGCGACTTCCTTCAGCTCAGGTCATGATCCCGGAGTCCTGGGATCAAATCCCACATCGGGCTCCCAGCTCAGCGGGGAGCCTGCTTCTCTCTCTGACCCTCTCCCCTCTCATGGTGTTTCTCTCTCTCTTGCTCTCAAATAAATAAATAAGTAAATAAATAAATCTTTAAAAAAAAAACAAAAACAAAAAACATTGAGTAAGTGGAAGATCCACCCAAGTACTTTTGCACCACTCCAATGTCCTTCATAGAACATTCAAAGTATTAGATGTGGTCTTACGCAACTCCCTATTTATGGCCCAGTTCTAGAAGAAACGGTCAGGGCCCTTTGTATCTATTTACCACCAAAAACTATATGGAGCATAGCATTAACTGGGTGGATGAAGAACCTCTGTTATACTATCTACCCACAAAATGGTGAGTTCATCTACCTCGCCACAGTGTAGTTTGCTTATAAAGGGCTCATTGCCTTCCTCTACCCGGGACATGCCCATTCACAGTAGCTGTGGCATGATTTTTACCTACAGCTCACCACTCTTCACCCCAAGTGGCTTCTAAAACTTGGCAGCTGGGGGAAACTATGGGTTACCAAAAGTATCTTCTAGCTTGCCAAAAATCAATCCAAAGAGTATGCCAACTGGTGCTTGATTCAGGAGGAAGGCATCCAAATGGGTGATACTGTCCAGCACATCTCCAAGTACACAGTAACCATTTATATGGGAAGCTGGGAGCCTACTACTTAGAAACTGAGATAATAGAGAACATCACCTGGCTGTACCCTTACAGACAATCAGTCTGAGGCCTCAGAACCAGACAAAGAGCTTGTACAGTTACCTGCACCCAGACCAGTAATTACTTGCAGTCAGGGTCCCATTGCCCACATAGAATATGCTCTTACTCTTTCTCCTCAGAACATATCTACTTGGCCACAGACATTCTGGCACCTCCACCTTGCCCAAAGTCAAATGACACTGCTTCCAGGAACTGGCCCCTCATTGCTATAACCTGTGATGAAGTACAAATCAGCCCCCTGATTCAGTTCAGGTTTCCAGAACTGTATATTCTGTCACCTGTCCAAATCTTCAACTATCAAAGGAAGGGTTTCAAACAGTGCTCCTCTCTGGCAGGATCATTCTCAAAGAAGGTGAAAGGAGATTTCCCCTGGAGTGCAAAGGTGGGGAAGGAGGGACAGAAATGAATGAGTGGGGTCAAGCCAGAATGAAGGGGAAAAGCAGGAGCTGGGGAAATACTCCAGAAGAGAAGTGGCATTCCCGTTCTCCACCAGAGGTGAGTGTGTGATCACAACAATTTCCGGAGAATGGCAGACTTTGATCCAGTTCCTGACAAGCTCAGGATTCTGAGATGCAAGTCAAATCTAGCCTATTTAAGCAGAACGTGAATTTATAAAAAGAATATTGGTGGGATAACATCAAACTAAACAACCCTGCACAGCAAAGGAAACAATCAACAAAATGAAAAGGCAGCCTACAGAATGGGGGAAAATAGTTGCAAACCATATATCTGATAAAGGACTACTATCCAAAATACATGAGAAACTCCTATAATTCAAAAGAAAAAAAAACGATTAAAAATTGGCATAAGATCTGAGTAGACATTTCTCCAAAGAAGACACACATATGGCCAATAGGTATATTAAAAGATGCTCAACATCACTAATCTTCAGGGAAATTAAAACCACAATGAGATACCACCTCACACCTGCAAAAAAATGGCTGCTATCGAAAAAAAAAGAAAAAAAGAAAAGACGTTGGTGAGAATGTGGTGAAAAGGGGGAACCTTTGTATACTATTGATAGGAACATACACCGGTGCAGCCATTATGGAAAACAGTATGGCAGTTCCTCAAAAAAGTAAAAATAGGGGCGCCTGGGTGGCTCAGTAGTTAAGCTCGGGTCATGATCCCAGGGTCCTGGGATCGAGCCCCACATCGGGCTCCCTGCTCAGCGGGAAGCTTGCTTCTCCCTCTCCCACTCCCCCTGCTTGTGTTCCCTCTCTCACTGTGTCTCTCTCTGTCAAATAAATAAAATCTTTAAAAAAAAAAAAAAGTAAAAGTAAATCCTATTTCTGGGTATGTATCCAAAGAAATTGAAATTATGATCTCAAAGAGATATCTGCACTTCCATGTTCCTTGCAGCATTATTCACAGTAGCAACATAAATGTCCATCAATGCATAAATGGATAAACAAATGTCATATATACACACACATACAATGGAATATTATTCAGCCTTAAAATTAAGAAGGAAGTCCTGCCATTTGCAACAACATGGTGAACCTGGAAGACATGCTAGGTGAAATAAGCCAAAGAAAGACAAATACTATATCACCATTTATATGAAGAATCTAAAGTAATCAAACTTGTAGAAGCAGTAGACTGGTGGTTGTCAGAGGCTCGGCAGGGGGGAAGAAATGGAGGGGCAGTAGTCAAAGAGTACAAAGTCGCCGTTATATAAGATGAATAAATCCTGGAGATCTACTCTACATTACAGAACCTGTAGTTAATACTGTATTATACACTTAAAATTTTCCTAAGAGCATAGATCTTCTATTAAATGTTCTTACCACAAAATAAGTAATAACAATAAAGAGGGTGGGAGGAAATTTTTGGAAGGGACGGATGTTTATGACCTAGATTGTGGTGATGGTTTCACAGGTGTACACTTACCTCCAAACTCATTAAGTCATATATATTAAATACGTACAACTACTTGTATGCCAATTTTACAATAAAGTTTAAAAAAAAATATTGGGAAGTACATAAAAGCTGTAAAAGGAACAGAGAAGCAAGTTTGGTGGACAGTAACCGAATCATGCTGCAGGCCTGGTTGGGCACAGACACTGTGTTCAGGACTGTGGCAGGCACTGTTGCCACCAAGGACCCCGGGCTCTGAATGTGCTGCTAGAAATAAGACGCGGCTTCACTGCTGGCACTTCCCATTAGTAGAAGACGACTACATAGCCCCTGCTTCTCTGCAACCTTCCTCTTTGGTTCAGAATCTGAAGCAGTTGTCTGGCCTAGCCCAAACTCTTTGCCCATGCCCTAGCTGCAAGAGAGCCTGGCATCTTGGTCCATTTGGACAGCTGTCACAGAATGCCATAGACTGGGGGACTTATAAACAACAGAAATTTACTTCTCACAGTTGTGGAGGCTGGAAGTCTGACATCAGTGCGTCAGCGTGGTCCGATGAGGGCCCTCTTTCAGGTTGCAGACTTCTCATTGTGCCTTCATGTGGTGGAAGGGGCGAGGGAGCTCTCTGAGGCCTCTTAGAAGGACACGAATTCCATTCATAAGGGCTCTACCCTTATGACCGAATCACCCCCTAAAGGTCCCACCTCCAAATACTGTCACCTTGGGAACTGGGTTTTCAACATACGAATTTAGGGGGAACACAAACATTCAGACCTGGATAAGGAAGCTCTGGTCTTTTCAGCCTCCATAGTGAGATTCCAGTTTTGCTTTGGAGGGGATTCCCAAACCCCCATAAGAATGCTAGGTCTAGGGGCACATGGGTGGCTGAGTCAGTTAAGCGTCTGCCTTCAGCTCAGGTCATGATCCCTCGGTCCCGGGATCGAGCCCCACAATGGGTTTCCTTTCCCTCTGCCCCTCGCCCCATCCATTCTCTCTCTCTCAAATAAATAAAATCTTAAAAAAAAGAATGCTAGGTCTACACTGCCCTACTCTACCCTACCTATCCTTACCCTACTCTACACTACTTTTCCAGCCCCTTCCCTGCCCCCTCCACTTTACCTTGCACTAATCAGGCTCCAAATCAATAGCAAGCTAAAACCTCTCTACTGCTTCTGTCTTGTACACACTTGCTATCCTGCTGCCTGAAATGCTCTTCCTGATACCACTATGTCCCATGGACTCCTTCTTATCCTCCAAGACTTAGCTCAAACGTAACTTCCCTATCAGACCAGTTAAAGTTCTGCAAATATGCCAATTCCAGGAAATGAGCGTCCATCCAGATAAAGGACCTTTTTCACCTGCACTAACCCTAAGTATCTGTCAATATCCTGATTCCAGTAGGAGGCCACTCAAAACCCAGGAGTCAGGAGCAAGAGAATGGTGAGGGAGGTCTCACGATCACTGGGTTCTCCCTCCCTCCCTCCTGACACAGGCATTGTAATTTGACATCTGAGATCCTAGGATCAGATTTGAGTGGTGAGGAGGGATCCCTGCCCTATGCCTGGTTGGCATGGAGACTAGAGACTCAGAAAATCAAATAGCCCTATTTGCTAAGTACTCATAACAAGTCTGCTCTTGTTTCAGACCAGGAGGAGCTGGCGCCCACTAGGCTTCCCCCTATTATCCCAGAAGATGGGAATTATTCTGTGCACCAGAATAGCCACAAAAGTTACCACGAAGCTGTAAAGAAGGTGTTGTTAAAGACACGTAAGTATTGAGTCTGGGGGGCTCAGTCAGTTACGCTTCTGCCTTTGGCTTGGGTCATGATCTGGGGCTCCTGGGATCGAGCCCCGGTCTGGCTCCCAGCTCAGTGGGAAGCCTGTTTCTCCCTCTCCCTCTGCTGTTCCCCCTGCTGGTGCTCTCTCTCAAATAAAATCTTTAAAAAAAAAAAAAAAAAGACATGAAAGTATCCTGGAGTGGGCACCATGCTAGGCACAGAATAGATATGCCTGAGTTTGTAAAGAATGGTTGGGCTGTGATGGGGCATGGTTATAGGGCAGGGGGAAGAAAACAGCCAAAAAGGGAAACTGAGAAAAAGGAGGGTGAAAGTAGACTTGAATGGTAGCGTGAGCGAGATGAAACAAATTGAATCAGACCCGGAAGCAGAAGCTCCGTACTGGAGTCATAGTTCTGCCTCTTTAAGTGTCTTACGTTGGGTAGCCACATATCTTCTATTAATCTTTCTCATTAAGAAAAAGAAAAGAAAATGCCTGCTCTACCAATCTTACAGAATTGTTGTGAGGATCACAACAAAATGAGACAATTTAGGACAGTACTTTGTATATTATGTGCTATGCCTGTGAGGAGTGGTAGACCAAGCACTGGCTTTGGAATTTGAGCTGAGTTTAAACTCCAAACAAATTGTGTGACCTTGGGCAAGTTCCTTTAACCACTCAACCTCTCTGAACCATCTGAAAATGGGAATCATACTCTAACATTGTTGTGAAAGTTAGAGAAAATGTACATTTAAAAAAGCATCACTACTGATACATGAGAGAACTTCTAGGAATCTTCAGGGAGTTATGCTATGCAAAGAAAGCCAATCCCCAAAAGATCACATACTGTATGATGCCATTTATGTAACATTCTTAAATGACAAAATTATAGAAATGAACACCAACAGGGGCTAGGAGGGCATGGCTATAAAAGGGCAACTCCTAGGGCGCCTGGGTGGCTCAGTTGGTTAAGCGTCTGCCTTCGGCTCAGGTCATGATCCCGGAGTCCCAGGATCAAGTCCCGCATCGGGCTCCCCACTCAGCGGGAAGCCTTGCTTCTCCCTCTCCCTCTGCCTGCCGCTCGCCCTACTTGTGCTCTGTCAAATAAATAAATAAAATCTTTTAAAAATGGGGGGGCAGCTCCCTTTTCCTGTTGGGGGAAATTGGGTAAAGCATACACAGGAGCTATGTATATCATTTCTTACAACTATGTGTGAATCCATAATTATCTCAAAATTAAAGTTTAATTTAAAAAACTAAGGTACTTTCAGAAACTTAAAAAGACATATGGATAGAGTATCTAAGAGTTATTCCTAATAGCAAATTCTTTTTAAGAGCTTATAATCAATCAATAGGGAAACAACTAAGTCAAAAACGTACCATCTACTCAATGGTATATTACAGATTTTTTAAAATAATGATTATAAAGACTATATAGCCAGAATATTAGGCTAATTCTAAGTGTAAAGAATATACAAATTTTATACAATGGTTTAATTAGATTTATCCACATCAAGAATAAAAACGCCAAAAAAACTAGGTAAGTCTGATACTATTTCAAAATCTTAAGAGCACCTAATACATTTAGAACATGATAGGCACTTGATAAATGAATCTATTAGCAGTATCTAAATATGAGGTGGTATCATTGCTTAGTTTCAGAGAATTACCTGGAATGAGAAAAGGAAGGAATTTTTTCAGATAAGAGGGAAGGGAAAGAGGAAGATTAAGCCTGGGGGATGGGGGTAGGGGAAGCCAGTAGAGTAGACCCATCTTGCACAATTCCCGAGTGGGTTGACCACCTGCTTTTCCACCATCTTAGCCCTTGGGGAAAGCTCTCTTGGAGATGGGCTTAGTAGCAGCAGGAAGAACCAAGACTGATTCAACTGACCATGAAGGGTGTGAGCTGCTGGAATCCGGAAGTGAAGCTGGGTGTGGTGGCCAGATTCCCAGGACTTCTCAGTACAGGGTCGAGGCCCAGTTGCTAGGTTGGGCTTGTGCTGCCGTGAGGCACAAAAGGGGTTATCCAGTATCCACAAAAGATACTGGATAACCTGCCCTTCCCCAACCATTCAAGTCCCCAATCAGGTCTTCAGAGTCCCCTTGACTGATGCTCAGAACTTCAGCTTCTGGCGGTCCCGTGATCCAGGAGTGCGCCCAGAGGAAACCATGCCATGGATCCGAAGCCCCCGCCACTGCCTCATCAAAAGCCCAATGACCAGGTTAGGTTGGGATGGGTGAGGGTGAGACTAAGGGAGGAACTCCCTCCACTTAAATCCTTAGAGACTGTTTCATCTCTTCTCAGTTAGGGAACAGAAGACAAAGTTGGGGTCTTACCAGGGATAGCTGGCCCCAGGACCTGACATTCAAAAGAGCTAAAGCTTTGTTTCTATCTTTGTGTTTCGCCTTGTGGCTATGACTTCTGGCGCAAGCACAAGACAAGTGTCTATAGCTTTCCTAGGGGAGTCCAGGGATGTTTCTGCTCCCTTCATTGCGGCCTCCCACCCTCCAACCACCATTCACTGGCAGTAGCCATACTTCCTCATTACTGCCCCTGCCCTCTCTGCCCTGAGGCAGTCTTGGGAGATGTTCAAGGACACCACCACATATACACCAGCCTGGCCTGGCCGAATCTGAGACCCTCTCTCTCTTTTCCAGGTTCATGGATCACTCTGTTCTTAGTGACAGAAACTTCAGTCTGTATTGAGCAGGATGTGTTTGCAGAAGAGCAAGACGGACCGTGGAAACAGGGCAAAGAAAGAGAAAGTGGGAGAAGGTGTCCTGGTTCCACTGACTGACTAATGAGAGGAGGTGATGGCAAAAGCAGAGTAAACAGATTGGACTAGAGTCACTTGTGTGTGCTGGAAGTGAGGCGGAGGGAAATTATTCCAATGCCCAAATTCCTGTGAGATCAGATGTATGGGGGCCAGAATTTGGTGTTTGGTTTGGGAGGAGCCAGGGTACAGAAAAGACCACCAAGGGGGTCTTGACCTCATGAATGGCAGGTGTCAGAGTAACAAGTCTGGGAAGACACACACTGGTTCTCATGATGCTAAAGGGTCTAGAGTAGTCATGCTCTCTGAAGACTGCAGCTTCACCTTCGCAGCGAGAAAACCAGAAGAAGCCCTCTAACCACAGAGGAAAAGAGGCTCAGAGCCCTCCAGCAGGAGGCTGCCTCCTGTACCCAGCTCTGCCACTTCTGACCCAACCCAGGGCCCAGAACATCTTCAGAGAGCTAGGAATTTTACAAAGAATTTGATTTTATTGATATTTAAATATATTAAATATTTCACTGAAATACATGATACACCACCCTCCCCCGCCCCACAGTGGTTACATTATAAAACCAAAGTCCATGGGCCTCCCATCCACTGACTTCCCCCATCACCTGGTGAGAAAGGGGCCGATGGTAGCCCAGGAGAAGGGCATGGCTGGCACTGTGGTATGGGGAGTGGGTGTGGACAGGCCCCTCCCACTTGGCAAGAAGCAAAGACAACTCACCGAAGACTGAGGTCTTCCCACTCTGGTCTCCTTACACCCTCACCCCCAACCCAGGGCTCCAAGCAGTCCCTTCCTATCCAGGGATATGGCTGGGGAAAGGAAGTTGATTTTCTGTCTGGACCAACTAGTCTTTTCCCCTCCTCCTAGCCATGGCTAATGAAGTGCCCGATGGCCCGTTTGGTCAATGCATGAAGATCCCCCAAGGGAGGCAATACGAGCCAGAAACCAGGCCTCTGCAAGGAGCTTGAGTCAGAAAGGGCACGAGGAAGGGCAAGAGTACCACCTATCCCTTCCATTCCCCAAACCCAGCAACTCTGGGACCCTCTCTCCTCTGTCTCTCTCATCACCTCCAAGACAAAATGATGTTCAAGCAAGATTCAGGCTAATGCCTCTGACTTAAATAGGTACAGACAGAAAAACCAAGGCACCAACTAATTCAGGCCTGAGGCAAGGAGGCTGCAAGGAAAGGAGTAAAAGGAAGGCAGAGATAGGAAGGGAATCTAGAGTCCAACCTTCCAACCCTCCTTCTAGGCCTTGCAGGCTTCATGGGGACTGGGGAGCCAGGAACACGCTAGACTGAGACTGAAGGCTGCGGAACGCCAAGTCTCAGGTTCCCTTGCCCTATCCCCTAGTACCAGAACCTGGGTCCTCAGAGAGACCCCATGCTACCTCGGTCCCAAAGTATACCACCAGCTGGGGAACCCAGGAAATTCCTGAGCCTCTGCCCACCAAACCCCAGACAGTTCAAGTGCACGGAGCACTGAGGCTCAAGCAGGCGCTTGGGTCCCTGCCCCAGGCAGGGAGACAGTCAGGCTGCACATGCGGCCCCCAAATGGCACTTAGGGATTTGGCACAAAAAGCGACTCCTCTCACCAGGGCCACCTTCCTCTTGCAACCACACCCCATGCCACTCCTGTGCAACCTAGGCATCTCTCTCCATCCCTTGAAATCAGAAGCCCTGCCTTATTCCCAGAAGACAGAGGCCCACAGGAGAGAGGCAACCCCGGGCAGAGAGCTGAGGAGGAGCACAAGGACACACACAGACCTGGGAAACAGCTGCACACACAAAGGCCAACATGCACACACATTACACAGACACACAGGCCCTCCCCAGGGCCAAAGACTTGGGAGGACGAGTTTGAGATCAGGGTCACTCTCCTCCGTGCCCTGACCCTTTTCTATTTGGCAACAGAATGGGTAGAGATGCTCTGTGTCCCCTTGCCAGCAGACAGCAAGAGAGGAGGGGGGGGGGGGGGGGGCGCGCGGGGCAGAGTGACCTGATCATGACCCCAGTGGGGCCCTCAGATCAAGAGTCTGGTACCACCCCGCTCCCTGGCTGGCCTGCTCTCTTTGGCACCTGCCCGTGAACTTTCAACTCCTGGTCTTCTGACATCCGCACACACCCACTTGCTCTCTGGCTGGGCATTTTCACAGTACCAATGAGGCCAGATGCCCCTTTCCCTGGAGCTGTGCAGGAACTGGGGCTAAATCTGAGCTGTCAAAAGTCCCTTTGTTCCCCTTTGGGGACAGATCATGGGACTAGGATTTGGCAAATGGAAACATTCCCCTGAAACATGGACAGAGCTGGGTCCCCAGGGCATCTCCCTCCTCTGCCCTGTGCCTAGGAGGGAGAACTGACCAGGGTGGGGTACCCAAGGCCAGTGCTGGGGATGCAGGCATAGCAGAGGCAAGCATGGAATAGGCACTCCTCAGGCCTGCCCCAGTCTTTGTACAAAATATTCCCAGGAAAAAGAGGGAAAGGAAGGGCCCAGCCCTGAGTCTGTTGCCCAGACAGACAGGGAAAGGGTAGGCATGGCAAGCTGCCATTTTAATCCCTCAGGCAGGAGGTCTCCTTCCACCTCTACTGCTGCCCCCCTCCACCCCCCCACCGGCCCCCTGGCTCCCGAAAGCTGGAACAAAGAGGCAACAGCCCTATCCCAGTTGGAAAAGTAAAAGTCACTTGCATAATCCTCTTGGTATCCCTTGTGTTCACCAGCCTGAGGGCAGACGAGCATGATCCAAGCACAGCCTGCTGGTGTGCTCCCTTCTGTGGTCAGCAAGGTCTAGAGGCTTCGTGCCCCCTGCCATGGCTCCACCAAGCGAGCCCAGAGTCCACTCAGATGCCCACCTTGGTCCTGACAGCTGAATCTGTAGCTGGGCCCTGTTAACTGGGGGGGCCCCCGTTGAGGAAGTAGGTGGTCATCTCCCCCTTGCCCTTCACCTTGACCACCCCTCGACACTCCAGCTGGTAGCCTTTGGCAGCTAGAACCTGGTACAAGTCCGTGGTCACCTGGGGGATGGGAGGGGAACCCATTTAGCCTGGCATCCTTCCTACTGCATTTGTAGGGGTCCAGGGGTTCTCTGATCATGCTAGCCCCACCCCAAACCACACACCCCCCCAACCACAGAACACTGCCACCCTACCGCTGTCCTAGCTGACCTCAGAGAGGGACCTGCAGAAGCCCTCTAGACCCATACCCTTCCCAGCCTCTGCCCACATCCCCCTCACCTGGATTCGGTCAGGGACCCCCGTGCTGTCCATACGGCTAGAGACATTCACTGTGTTCCCCCAGATGTCATACTGCGGCTTCCGAGCCCCAATGACACCTGCCACGACTGGGCCCATGTTCAGCCCTGCGATGGGGACAGCAGGAAAAAACTGAGACTAATGACATTCCAGGGTCAGCCCAGGGAGTCATCCCACCTCCTGGAACCTTTAGAAGGACCCAGAGAAGAAAGTGACAAAGGGACAAGTGTCCTGGTTGTAAAAAATGGCAGATCTGGGCATGTCCTGAGGCGCTCCCCTGAGTGAAGACAGCCACTGCCATCACAGTAGCTAAATCCACTAAAAGCTCGCTCTGCGCCAACCCCTCCGGGAAGCATTTTGCATTCCATTACTTCATCCCCTCAACGGCCCTCAATGGTAGGTATCATGCCCATTTTACAGATAGCCTTGGGGAGCTGAGAGGAGTTGGGCAACGTGCTAAATAAGCCAGTAAGTGGAACAGCCAGAGTTCACACCAGAGTGACTCCAGAACCCACGCCGTTAACCGCTCCTCCCACCCACCAGCTCCCAGCTCATCTCAGAGGTGCCTCTCAGACTGGCCATACATAAGGACACAGGTACTGGAGTGTAAATAAACCCGGTTTTGAATCCCACTGCAGCCATCTACTAGCTGTTTGGCCGTGGCCAAGTTATTTTAACCTGAGAGTCAGTCTCTATCCGTAAAAGGGGATGACAACGTGAAGATTAAAATGTCTAGGACAGGGCCTAGCACACAGTAGGCCCTCAACGAATGATCTCTGTTCTAAACGTGAGACGAGACAGGAGGTGGGAGAAAAGGACATCCCGCAGGATTCCTGATGGGGCGTCTGTGACACCACCCCTAGGCTGCTTCCTTGGCCTCACCCAGAAGCAGCCCTGGGAAGAGCCCCCATGCAACCAGGCCATCTCACCAATCTTCATCTGGAAATTGTTGAAGGAGTGCTCATTGATGTGTTTCATCTGCTCCATGAGCCGCATGGCGTAGTCGGCCAGGGCGGTGATGTGGGAGCGGCCTGCCTGATCGTAGGTGCTGGCGTTCAGCCCTGAGGCCGCCATGTAGGTGCTACCGATGGTCTTGATCTTCTCCAGCTGCCGGAACCGCTCCTCGCTGATGATCTGGCCAGCACGGGGAGACCCGACTGTCAAGGCAGAGAGGCCAAACGCACGCACCCTGCCCGATGCTCACTCTTGCCCTGCCTCGGCCTCTCCCCGCTTCCCTGTTTCAACAGCTCCCCTCCTTCGAGTGAGTGTGCCCCCGCCTTCCAGCTGTCGTTCTCAAGGCGGGACCAAGGAGCCGGAACACAGGGCTCCTTCGCCAGGCAGTCCGTCAGAACCCCAGGCCAGGACTTAACGCGTACAGCTTCAGCTCAGCTTCAAAAGCTCCCTCGCAGAATCCGGGACCACAGAAGGGATATTAGCCACCAGTTATTCTAACTGTCACTTTTTGGGAAACTGAGTGCCAGAGTGAAGAAGTGACTTGGCTCCAAAACAGTAAATGGCTCATTCCTGACCTGGATATTCAGGATACTTCCTCATGCTCGCTTCCATTTTCTCTATTCAGGGGCCCATCTTGCTTCCTTGGGCTCACATGGGGCTCTGTCCGCAGACCAGTGCTTTCGTATCCAGTGACACCCAGCTGATACCCATCCCGTCCCCCCCCCCCCCCGAGCCTCCTGTCCTTTGCTCCCTGGCAGTGACGGCCCCGCCGCACTGAGGCCGAGCTCCTTGCTGCCTCGGACACCCCGGCGGGTCCTTGTCCTTGCCTCTGCTGTGCCCCCCCGACTCCTACCCCGACATCTCA